ATATATATATATATATATATATATTTATTTATTTATTTATTTATACTTTTGTGTATTCCCCACGTAATCCTATAGCGCGTGTCCGGCAGAAACTAATTTCATCTTGTAAATTGGATTGAACATTTTGCATATAGGTGCATAGCATTGGCACGCAAATAATTGCTACCAAAGTTGCCACAGTGGAAACGGCAACACCACAGAAAGCAAGTTTTTTCATGCTTTCAGCTTCGATAAGAAGTTGCTTAGGATCGTCGCAATCTGCCATTTTTGTTTCTGAAATAATATTAAAGATAATAATTTTTTCAACTTTTTATCATCAAATTCACTAACAATAATGCACTGATTAAATCTAATTGATCATGACAATGATTACATTTCAATGCATTTCTGAAATGTTGTTATATTTAATCTGACTTTTAAAAATTATGTCCAATTTTACTGATTTACTCAAGAAAAAATAGAACATAAAATGTTTCATTGATGTCTCAGACATAGGAAACGAGAAGTTGAGAAGAAAAATCTAACATATTCAAAGCAATGAATTCTTTTGCATACTTATTATTAATAAAACTGACAAATATTTGGGTTAAATTATAGAAGCTAGCTTTTGAAGTAATTTATTTGTCATATTTGATTGAGTAAATAACTGAAGTTAAGATGTGATTTGTGTTTAAAGAAAGTTTTCTTTATCATTTCTTTTTGACCAAAAATAAAACACGTTTCACACCAGCAATAAAGTCACTATTAATTTTTGCTTTTAATTCCTTTTTTATTTTAATCTTTTTCAGATCGAAGTTAAGTAAAAAGTAAAGTAAAAACAAATGTGCAATCATTAATATATTTTAAATCTTTTTAAATTTTATCAGTTCCCAAATAATTACAGATTATTAAAGCAATAATAAACTAAAAATAATTTTATTCCACCATATTTTTCAACATTTAATGAAATTTGTCAATTTAATGTTATACATTTTTGATCAACTTTAATAAAAATAAATAGTCGTATCCATCACTATATTATACATCAGTTATTACACTCAATATTTATGTTAGTATTTTAAGTATAAAATAAACAAAACGAAATATCTGAAAAAACTTATGCATGCATACTTTTGTATTAATATTAAACATTTTTGCACCCTAATGTTCATGCATGAATAGCAAATATCATAGTATGCAACTATTATATTTTTTCAGAAGTCTACATAGAAAAAATCATAAGCATTCATGTTATAATGATTTTTTTTTTGTTGAAAAAGCTGAAAGTTTCACATACTATTTAAGAAATGCAATAAGTTTGCAAAATAAAATTGATGAATTAAAAATGCTGTGAAAAGTAATCAAATGATAATAATCAAGTGAATTTTTGCAAGAAATAATAAATAACTACTAATTTTAATTTCAAAGTCTAGCTATTCAAATGAATCTCTGCAAGATTCTAATTTGTTTTATAGCAAAATGTTGCCCGAAATTTCAAGTCTTTAGGGGCGGTCCATTTTATATCATATCATTTTACATTTGCATAAGGAAAAAGAAGATGAAGAAAAAGAAGAAGCATACAATGAAACAACAAGTATGCAGTTATGAATTTCTTTTACAGTAATTATTTTTATTTTTTTATTTTTAACAAACACAAATATGAAAAATGAAAGCTTGTAATGGATGACTGAATTTGAACTAGTGTTTTCGATTTAAAAACTATAACAAATAAGATTTTTTTTTCGATTAGTGATTATTATTTTATGATTAATACATTTATTTGACTGTACAAGTATTACATCTATTCGATTGCTTAAATAAATTTAACTTTAAAATAAATTCAGTTGTATAAAATAAAAATTTCTATACCAATTAGTAATGTATAAAAAACTATCATATGAAAGAAAAAACAAATGCAATAATTTTCCATTAACTGTGTATTAAATAAATACGAATAATATAATTAATAATTAATAATATATGAAATGGTTTATTTATTTAATTACAAAATGTATTACTTATAAGAGAAAAGGAATAAATACAAAAGGTGAATACAAATGAAAAAGCGAAGAATACGGTTTAACTATTTGAAGTATTACATGAAAAGAATGTGCAAGAAATTTTAATCGCAGAGACAAGTAATGAATGCATTGATGTTACTGTGAATGTGATGTTTGCAAGTGTGAGTAGTCCATTTTATACTTTTCAGCAAAGCATTTCCTACAAGAAGAAGCGGTCGCTGAGGTGAGACGATCACTTTTTGCTTATTTAATTTTTATTTATTAGAAATGTTACAGTCGCCATGAGAGGTTGGTAAACGAGTAGTAGTTCGGTACAGCAAAGTACTACTATAACATGCAGTCATTTTTTCATACACCATACAAATCAGTAAATACTCATACATCCATAGACATAAAAACATATTAATGTATATGTAATACATTTTATTCCATTATTTTGAATAAATAATATTTAAAAAAGTAAGCTACATCAATAAAATAATGAATATTGTTTATTTGTGATAAGCTAATAAAGTATTGGTAATGAACAGGTACATACGTCTAAATGAAAGTGTATGTATTTAAATATATTTATCTAAACGTATATACCAGTATTTTGTGCATGTAAATGTAAATATATCAAAAACAAATACTTTTCTTTGTTAATGTAACTTTTTAATTTTTGATTACTAAAAAAAAAGTTTCCTTTTGGATATCAAACCGGATTTTATGCTTTTTTTGCAGAACAAATTTCGGACTTGTCATCCATCTAATGCCATGTCATTAACATAAATCAAAGAATCCATACTTTCTTTCTTCTTCTTCTTTACCTTTCCTTCTACTTTGCAATTTTCAATTTCAATATCAAACGAAAGAAGATAGCAAGAAATGTACGGACGTTTGTTCATGGGGTTAAGAAAAATTTTTTAAGTTTATATTGACTACAGGACTACTGTAACTGCAACTGTAACTGTAGAACACATTATAAATAAGTGCACAATTAATGCATGTTTAAGAAATTATTGTAATAAAAAAAATTGGTGTACTTTTTAATTATGTTTGATTAAATGATATGTGTAAAAAAATAGGTTACAAATAAACTGTAAAGAAAAAAATAAAGTGCTTTTTTTCTGTTTTTTTCTTTTTTTGTTACTGTAAAACTTTTTTTACATTATTTTAATCGTAGACTTTTTATCTTTCTTACATGCTTTCTCACTGAATCATTTATTTCATTAACGTAAGTTTCTGCTTTTGAATTTTTTTATACGATAAAAATTAATGACTTACTTCACTAATTCCTTCTTTTTAAGGTCAAATTTTTGAACACTTTTGTTCTTTTCATTTTTTATCATGTTTATTTTATTTTAAAGGTACAAAAAAAATCTCTATGATTAGTATTTAAAAATCAATTGTGATATTTTACATACTAATTTGCTCATAATATAACACAAGGTTGGAAGCAATTTAAGAATGCAAAATCATATTACCTTCACTATATAGTTAATGGGAAATGTTCTCAAACTTATGCTTTGCATAAAAAAGCATGGAGGTATTTTTCATGCAAAAAGTTTTTGCACAAAAGTATATCGTATTTGAATTTACCATGTAAGAGAATATTATATTTTTGCTGCATGTAAAAGTATATTTCACATATATCTTTTTGCATTAAAGTATATTTTTGAAAATCCGCGCAAAATTATCAGTGGTAGATTATGTCATTTATAAATTTGATGATGTAGATAAAAAGTGGCATTTTTTTGAAGTAAAAAAAATTTATTTCCTGAATCTTTTATTTTAATGATAGTAGTAATTAGAAAAGCAGTAGTAGTATATTTTATCAAATATTGCAATGTTTTCAAATATGAAATCTTTTCAAAAATAAATTTAATTCATTGGAAAACTTGTTATGCGGAAACTGATTTGACAAACTCTTTTCAAGCAAAAGAGAAAGACAAGTGCAAAATATGCAAATAAATTGCTTTGCTTACTCATATTTTAATATTAGAGATTGGCATCATTTAGCAATATTTTTAGGTTTATGAATAAATACAAATGGAACTGACTTCTATGTTTCATCAATGAACAACAAATGTATAAATAATAAATGTTTAATAATGTGCTGATTATAATTCATGCCTTCGTTATTGCTCGAGCTAATTTTGGTAATAATTAATTAATTAATTAATTAATTAATTACAAAATTTTGTCAATAACAAAATGCTATTTTTATTTAATTTTGAATTTTATTTTGCATTTTTAAGGCTATTAAAATGATTAGTTGAAGGCATTACTTAATGCAAAAATTTTTTGATTGGTAGTGGAAAGAAAGTTGTATAGTTTCATGAATATCGAAATTGGACACAATTTTCGTATGTTTCTTTTATTTTTTGTGGCATTTCTTTAAATTCATCGTAGCAGACAAAAATAGACTTGCAAAAATTATCCAACATTTTACACTGACTTCGTGTATGTACTAATAAGTAATGAGTGTGTGATTTAGTCAAACTGCATCAATTTAAGTGAATATAAATTTATTTGAAATAAATCAAATCTGTAAAAATTTGATTTGAAAAGTAGTTATCTTCACTTGCATGTGCTGCAATATTACACCACACATACTTTCTGCATTCATCTTTTCTTTTTCTAAAAGCTGGGCAAATTTGTCATTTATGTGTGAGCAGTTAAAAAGCTGTTTTGATTTGATTATCAGAAGTCAATTCAATTTCTATCCATTATTTTGAAGCACAATGAATTTCAATCACAAAAACGTAAAATTCTTAATAAATTTTCTTACGAATGCTTATACAAGAGATAATGATTATGCTTTTTCATCGCTCTTACGAATGGATCATATAATCTTCATGAAAATGTGGTACCATTCTTTAATCTGTAATTACTAGTATAATATAACAATTAGGGAATAAGTCACAAACAGATATAATTCTTAATAATTCATAATAAAAGGTAACGATGTAATGAATTTATTAGAATTTAAAAAATTATAGAATGAGAATGTCTACAATAAAAAATATCACTACAAATATACAAGTAAGTTTATTAACTGATAAATTATCATATAGTAATTAAAGTGATCTATTTGATTTGCCTTGTATGCACATAAATAAAATTATGACAAAATTTATTACATATATATAAGTCAGTAATGAAAATGTATATATATATATA